AGTGGTGGTAGTGGTGGTGGTACATGTCGTTCTAACGCGTGCTCGCCCCCATGGGAACGCGGCTGCTCCCGAGCGAGCTCCGTCAACAAAGCGCCGCGTGGGAGCGGATCGGAGCGCAGAGATCCCTGGACACAAACACCACTCGCCCGACACCGCCGAGCCACCGACAAGGACGACGACGTTTCGGACAATGGCCCTTCTTACGAGCACATCGCAGCCAAACGTGGCATGTTGTTGGCTTGCTCCGGTCGCGATGGGGGTCCTCTGTCGTGCCCGTGTGCCGATGCCATTATTGAGCTCAGCGTGGCATCTGTCAATGGCGTCAGACGCCCCTACGTCACAATGGAAACATCGGTGCAGGCCCGGGAAACAAACAGACGGAAGGACGCAAAAGACAAAGGTGTCCCGCATAGCCTTTGACAGACTGTCGGGGGGCAAGTGCTGTTAAACGAGTAGCACCTATGAAGGGGGGTGGCGGCCGGGCGTGGTGCTGACCAGCCACCCCCTCGTGTGCCTGGCAGGCCTTCGTAGGTGCTACTCGCGAGCGGCACTTGTCCCACTCGATTTGTTTAAAAAAAACTAAATTCTATACGGGGGATCTTTGTCTGTTGCGTGACTGGCATCTGCCAATCATCTCGGCCAATTAAGCCACAGCACCGGGGTCTGTGCGAGTGACCACGGTGGCTATGAGATGTTAACTCCTTCGCCGGGTGTGCAGGACGTCGAGGGTTCGATCGCATCCCTGACGCGTGCTGCTGTTTATTCGGAGTCTGCGGTGTCTCTCTCTCTCTCTCTCCCCGTGGTCGCGTGGATTTTTCTCCGCTCCCTCCGGATTTTCCCTCCACATTTGGAATCAACGTCGCCACGCGTATAGAGTGTTTGGCTTCTCTACATTCCCACGTGGTGGTGATGATGATGATGGTGGTAAGCCACTTCGTTGAGCGATCGTTTGTGGCCAGGTCGCTTCTGGGACTTACCGTAATGAGTTCGTCCACGCTGGACGCGCCCGATGATTGTTAAACACGTCCCACGTGCCGCGCTAGGCCATTCACCAGCGTCTGTGTTAATGTAGAGTCGATTTACATTGAGATGCGTGTGTGTGTGTGTTCTGGTGTTCCACATGTGTGTGCACACCTATTCCACGTGTGTATGTACACGTGTTCCACGTGTGTGTATGTTCACCCGTGTTCCACATGTGTGTGTACACGTGTTCCACACGTGTGTGTGTGTGTACACGTGTTCCACGTATGTGTATGTGTACAAGTGTTCTACATGTGTGTGTACACGTGTTCCACGTGTGTGTGCACACATGTGTTCCACGTGTGTGCACGCACGTGGAACACGTGACGCAGGAAGTGCTGCGCGCTAACCGCTACACCTTCAGCACAACGTCCACCACCACCACCACCCCACATCACCCTCATCGCCACCATCACAAACAAAAAGACACAGGTGCCTACTGAGTGCAGATATATTGTGGTTAGCGAGCACCTATTAAAGCCGAGATTAATACAGTACACGGGAAGCAGGAATATGTCGGCCCGGTCGCCTCTCTCACTCACTCACTTCTCGCTATGACCTTCACGATCCACACCACCAACGCGCCTCGGGTCGAGCGGTTCTCATTTCGGTCTGAGTCGACCTAGTGGCGAATCAGACCAGGCTCACACAGCCATTGGCTGGCCCCACAGGTTTCTGAGGATAAGCAACGCCGCGCTAGGGAATGGAACCCAGGTCACCGGAATCGTAGCGCTGTGTAGAAAAAACACAATTACAAAGACAAAGATCCCCCGCGTAGCCTGCACCAGACTGTTGGGGCAAGTGCCGCTAGCGAGCAGCTACGAAGGCCGGCACGGCGCACGAGAGGGTGGGTGGCCAGCACCACGCCCCGGCCGCCTTTGTCTCCCCTGTGGCCAGGTGGTTTAAACGCCGCGCACCAGGTACTCATTTGAGGCTGAGTCGACCTAGGGGAGGCCCAGGACCGGTTCTAGATAATCGTCACCGGCGTCGGTTTTTGACCGCGAGCGGGAATCGAACTCGGGCTGCGGGGTCCGTGGCGCAGCGTAGCGCTAAACAAAGACGCCCGTTGTGGGCAAAGCGCTCTGAGTTAGCGAGCACCTATTAAAACAGGCACGGCGGACAGCGGAAGTGGCGTCGATGGAACCACTCCGGGCCCGTCTCTGCCGCCACGGCCACGGCTGATCTTCTAAGGCAACAGCAACAACAACAGGTGGTGATTTAAGGCCGAGTTGACCTAGGAGAGGCCCCACCACCGGTTCGGAAATCACCCGCGACGGATGTTGATCCCGTGACCGGTGATGATCAAAGCCAGCCACGGTGGTTCGTGTCGCGAGCGACCGGCTGCCCCACGACTCACGCACAGCCTCGTGACGTCAGGCAAGCTCAGCAGGCTGGTGGGGGGTGGGGGACCCGGCCTGGTCAGTGGCTTGAACGGGGAGACTGTGCCGTGGATGCTGCGTCGCACGTGACACAGGCTGCGTCGCACGTGACGCAGGCTGCGTCGCACGTGACGCAGGCTGCGTCGCACGTGACGCAGCCTGCGTCGCACGTGACGCAGGCTGCGTCGCACGTGACGCAGGCTGCGTCGCACGTGACGCAGGCTGCGTCGCACGTGACGCAGGCTGCGTCACCAATCGTTGTGCCGTATCGCCCTTCCACGCTTCCCCTGGTCCACTGCACCAGCGTGGTGAAGTATGGTCAAACCCCCCCCCCCCCAACCCCGCGACCCGACGAGTGGCGAGTCCTTCATCCAGCAGTGGAATGACAAAGAGGGCTGCACGTGGACAAAGATAAAGATGCCCCGTATAGGCTGCAAAAGCTGTTGGGGCAAGCGCTGTTAGCTCTCCTTTCTTACCCCAGCGCTGATGTTTTACAAACTCGCTTCAAGTACTCATTTAAGACTGAGTCGACCTAGGGGAGGTCCAGGACCGGTTCACATAATCGTCACCGCCGGGTTCTAAGGCGCAGCGCGCTAACCACTGCGCCACCGCTCCACGACGGTGGTAGCGATGGTGTCCGCATGTTGGGGCAGGCAAAGGCAAAGAGCCCCCGTATAAACTTAGTAAATTGTTGGGGCAAGTGGTGTTAGCAAGCGGCACCTATGAAGGCCGCACACGGCACACGAGGGGGTGAGTGCCCAGCACCGCGCCCGGCCGCCTTTGTCTCCCCAGCGCTGATGTATCAGACTTCGCAGCAGTTACTCATTTTAAGGCTGAGTCGACCCAGGGGAGGCCCAGGACTGGTTCAGATAATCGTCACTGCTGGTGTTGTCCGTGAGCGGGAATCGAACTCGGGTCGCCGGGTTTGTAGCGCAGTGTAGCGCTGACCGCTACACCACCGCTTCCCCAACACGTACACACAAATACAAAGATCCCCCGTAAAGCCTTAACAGACTGTTGGGGCAAGTGCTGTTAGCGAGCAGCGCCTATGAAGGCTGGCACGGCGCACGAGGGCGTGAACAAACAACAACAGCCGCCATTCGCCACCAAGTGGGGGTGACATCACCGCGACGCTTGTGCCAGGCTAGGTGCACGTTGAGGCCACGTGAAGTGTCGAACGCCCGCTGGCAGGAGGTCACGGGACAGACCCAGATGTCACAAGTCGACTGACTGAGATGACTGAGACGACTGGCTGATGTACCACCTTTGACTTTTACTGTGCCAACTTGCTGTGCTTTAGCCACCCGACACTCCGCTCGTTGTTGTGAGCGTCGCTCCTCCGCCCTCCGTTGTTGCTGGAGGGCAACTGCCCACAACTGCCCAGTAGCAGCAGCGTCCTTCACGAGCCTCCTCCACAGAGGCCGATCTTGACACCGCTGGTACCAGTCATCGGCAAGTCCACTCAGCTCCACGTCCTCCTGTACCACATCACTCCATCTCTTCTCTAGCCCGTGCTGCGCCCGTTTAGGCCCCTCTACCCAGCCAAACAAAAGGTGTTTGGGCAAGCGGTGGCTGGGCATGCGGGCTACGTGACCCAGCCATCGCAGCCTCGCCGCCGGAGGAGTTCACTGATGGGAATGTGTCCAGATCTTTATTGACACGTACACACACACGTACACACACACACGTACACACACACACACGTGTACACACACACACGAACACACACACGTATACACACAACAACAACAACCGCCATTCGCCACTAAGTGGCGGTGACGTCACCACGATGCTTGTGCACAGGCTATGTGCACCTTGAGGCCACGTGAAGTGTCAAAACACACACGTACACACGTATACACACACACACGTACACAATCACATATACACACACACGTACACAATCACATACACACGTACACACACACGTACACACACACACACAGGTGCATAATCACATACACACGTACACACACGTACACACACAGGTACACACACAGGCACACACACAGGTACACACACACGTACACACACACGCACGTACACACACAGGCACACACACAGGCACACACACACGTATACACACAGGTACACACACACAGGTAAACACACAGGCACACAGATGCACACGCACGTAGACACACAGGTACACACACACGTACACACAGACGCACGTACACACACACAGGCACACACACAGGTACACACACACAGGTACACACGCACGTACACACACAGGTACACACCCACAGGTACACGCACACACACAGGTACACACACAGGCACACACACAGGTACACACACAGGCACACACACAGGTACACACACACAGGTACACACACAAGTGCACACACACAGGTACACACACAGGTACACACACAGGTACACACACGCACACAGGTACACACACAGGTACACACACAGGCACACACACACAGGTACACACACAGCTACACACACAGGTACACACACAGGTACACACACACAGGTACACAAAACAGGTACACACACAGGTACACACACACACAGGTACACACACACAGGTAAATACACAGGCACACAGATGCACACGCACGTAGACACACAGGTACACACACACACAGGTACACACACACAGGTACACACACACACACACAGGTACACACACACAGGTACACACGAGTCGCCAGCCCCACCTCCCCTACGCCCCCCCCCTGACGCCCGGCGTGTTTCCGCAGCCAGAAGAGTGGACGTGTTAGAAGTCGGGTCTGTCCTTCTTGAGCTTGTCGTAGTCCATGGAGACTGCGAGGAACTGGGGAGGGGGGGTAGAGAGAGATGGGAGAGAGAAAAGGGAGTAGGAGGATGAGAGAGGATGGGGAGAGAGACAGGGGGAACAGAGAGACATGGAGTAGGGAGAGAGGGGGTAGAGAGAGGGGGGGTAGAGAGAGGGGGTAGAGAGAGGGGTAGAGAGAGTGGGTAGAGAGAGAGGGAGAGAGGGGGTAGAGAGAGGGGGGGGTAGAGAGAGGGGGTAGAGAGAGGGGTAGAGAGAGTGGGTAGAGAGAGGGGGTAGAGAGAGAGGGAGAGAGGGGGTAGAGAGAGAGGAGGGTAGAGAGAGGGGGTAGAGAGAGAGGGGGGGTAGAGAGAGGGGGTAGAGAGAGAGGGGGTAGAGAGAGAGAGGGGGGGTAGAGAGAGGGGGGGTAGATAGAGGGGGTAGAGAGAGAGGGGGTAGAGAGAGAGAGGGGGGGTAGAGAGAGGGGGGGTAGATAGAGGGGGTAGAGAGAGAGAGGGGGTAGAGAGAGGGGGGTAGAGAGAGGGGGTAGAGAGAGAGGGGGTAGAGAGAGAGAGAGAGGGAAGGAGTAAGAAGGAGGAGAGTAGAGAGTGAAGTGTTTTGTGATTTTTTTTTTTCATTTAAAAAGGGGGGCGGGGGGGGGCACATTAAGCAAAGCATTGATAAACAAATAAAAAGACGAACTGATTTAGAACGAAGCAAAGTGCCGACTCCGCCGAGCATCCTTCTTGTTCCCTCTGATGGTAAACAGAGAGAGAGAGAGGGAGAGAGAGTTGAGAGAGAGCTGTCTCTTCCTCTCCTAGAGACCCACCCCCCCGCCCCCCACAAAACACCCCCAGCACCCTCCAAGACACAGATCCCCCGTGTAGCCTCAGCAGACCGTCGGGGCAAGTGCAGTTAGCGAGTTCCACTTCCCGGCCGTCTTTGTCTCCCCGGCGCTCGTGTTTGCAGTCGTCCCAGGTCGCGGTTCAGGAGTCGAACTTGGGGTGGCCGGGTTCGTGGCGCAGTTCCTGAACCGCTGCACGCCGCCGCTACCCGCCTCGCGATCTCACTCGCAAGTCCAAAGACAAAGACCCCCCGTGTAGCCTCAGCAGGCCGTCGGGGCAAGTGCTGTTAGCGAGGTAGCAGCGCCGATGAAGGCTACCGGCACTGTGGCACACGAGGGGGTGGGCGGCCAGCACCACGCCCGGCCGCCTTTGTCTCCCCGATTTGTTTATCATCTCAATGGAGCGATTTGCTGGTACTGTAATTGTCCAGCATTGGGGTATTTGGTGAATACCAGTTACCGATTTCATGCTGGTGATGATGGCGATGGTAATGGTACTGCTGTTGATGGGTGATAATGATGTCGATGACGATGATGATGTTAATGATGCGGCTATTGTTGATGTTGATGATGCTGGCAGGAGATAGGGAAAATCATCGCGTACTCCGAGAGGGTAACGACTTCCCGTGACACTGAGCAGTGAGTGCAAGGATGTTTGTCTGTGTGTGTGTCTGTGTCTCTGTGTGTGTGTCTGTGTGTGTGTGTCTCTGTGTGTGTGCCTCTGTGTGTGTGTGTCTGTGTGTGTGTCTGTGTGTGTGTCTGTGTGTGTGTCTGTGTGCGTGTCTGTGTGTGTGCGTGTCTGTGTGTGTGTCTCTGTGTGTGTGTCTGTGTGTGTGTGTGTCTGTGTGCGTGTCTGTGTGTCTGTGTGTGTCTGTGTGTGTCTGTGTGTGTGTCTGTGTGTGTATCTGTGTGTGTCTGTGTGTGTGTCTGTGTGTGTATCTGTGTGTGTCTGTGTGTGTGTCTGTGTGTGTGTGTGTCTGTGTGTGTCTGTGTGTGTATATGTATGTGTGTGTCTGTGTATGTGTCTGTGTGCGTGTCTGTGTGCGTGTCTGTGTGTGTGTGTCTGTGTGTGTGTGCATCTGTGTGTGTCTTCGATTCCCGCTCACGGCCAACACCAGTGAAGATTATTTGAACCGGTCCTGGGCCTCTCCTAGGTCGATTCAGCCTCAAATGAGTACCCGGTGCGGTGTGTAAACATCGCCACTGGGGAGACAAAGGCGGTCGGGTGTGGTGCTGACCACCCACCCCCTCGTATACCGTTCCGGCCTTCATAGGTGCTGCTCGCTAACAGCACTTGCCCCTACAGTCTGTTACAGGCTACACGGGGGGGTCTTTGTCTGTGTGCGAGGCTGTGGGTGTGTGTGAGAGAGATGCGCATGTGGAGTTATACAAATACACACATCGATGATGCGCGTGGATATATAGACACACACACACGCACGTAAACTTGTACACAAACATCCACAAACGATGTAATCACGATACCGCGAAAGAGTTCAACAACAAAGATAAACATCCCCCGTGTAGCTTCGGCGTGCTGGGGCGGGCAAGAGCTGGCGGCGAGTGGCAGCGCCTTACGGGGGGTCGCGTGGTCAGCAACACGCCCGGCCGCCTTTGTCTTCCCAGCGCTGGTGTCTATACGCTCGTTTTAAGGCTGAGTAGACCTAGAAGAGGCTCGGCGACCGCCAGTGTTGCTAACCACTGCGCCACCGCTCGCTGAGTGCCACGGTGTGCGTGGGGTGGCTGCCAGCTCACACACAAAGACACAGAACCCCCCAGCCGCCGTATAGCCTCAGCAGACTGTTGGGGCAAGTGCTGTTAGCGAGTGGGGCCGAAGAAGGTCAACGCGGGTGGACAGCTCCACGCACGGCCGCCTTTGTCTCCCCAGTGGCGACATTTACCACACACCGCAGCAGCTACTCATTTGAGGCTGAGTCGACCTAGGGGAGGCCCAGGACCTGTTTCAGAGACTCGTCACCGGTGTTGGGGGCCCGTGAGCGGGAATCGAACTCGGGTCGCCGGGTTCGTAGCGCGGCGTAGCGCAAACCGCTACACTACCGCACCCCAGACACAGACACACACCACCATGAATACATTCACACACACACACAAGCACATATATCAACAAAAGATAAGACAAAGAGCATCGTCTTATCTTCAACAAAGATCCCCAGCGTAGCCTTCACTTTGACAACACACACACGCACGCGCGCGCGCGCGCGTGCGGTAATGCGTGCATCGCTGAACCAACTGCGGACATTCCACATTCGTGTGGCGGGAGAGTTAGCGGTACCTTGTACTGGTGAGTTGGCTCCAGGTTATTCCACGGCTCGGGATTCCCTTTCTTGTTCCAGCTGGGAAACACAGAGAGGTCGGCGTTTAGCCTGGGGGCACGTGGACGATAGAGACAAAGGTCCACCGTGTAGCCTGTAACAGACTGTTGGGGCAAGTGTTGTTAGCGTGCGGCAGCGCCTATGAAGGCCGGCACGGCACACGAGGGGGTCGGTGGCCAGCACCACGCACGGCCGCCTTTGTCTCCCCAGTGGCGACATTTACCACACACCGCAGCAGGTACTCATTTGAGGCTGAGTCGACCTAGGGGAGGCCCAGGACCTGTTTCAGACAATCGTCACCGGTGTTGGGGGCCGTGAGCGGGAATCGAACTCGGGTCGCCGGGTAGCGCCTACCACGACACCAGCACTCCGGCACGAGTGTGATGCACAGGTAGACACGTTCAGTACCAGATACACTCACCAGATACACTCACCAGATACACTCACCAGATACACTCACCAGATATACTCACCAGATACACTCACCAGATACACTCACCAGATACACTCACCAGATATACTCACCAGATACACTCACCAGATACACTCACCAGATACACTCACCAGATACACTCACAAGATACACTCACAACACGTATGTCTGTTGAACGTCTTTCGCACCGTACGTAGCCAACTAAACACACACAGCATACACACTCACCCCATACACACCGCTCACTAGACACTCACCCCACTCACCAGATGCACTCACCACTTACTAAACGCGTGATGTTGATTCTAAATAGGGAGGGGGAAACCGGAGGAGCCGGAGAAAACTCCACGCGGGATCAAACCCACGACCTCCTGTATACCAGGCGAGGTAGTTAACATCTCCTAGCCACCATGGTGATGATGAGAGAGAGAGAGAGAGACGTGCAGGCTTCAAATATACATCAGCAGGCGTCAGGGTTGGGATCAAACCCACGATTTCCTATAGACCAGGCGAGGTAGTTAACATCTCCTAGCCACCGTGGTGATGATGATGAGAGAGAGAGAGAGACACGCAAACTCCAAATATACATCAGCAGGCGTCAGGGTTGGAATCGAACCCACGACCTCCTGTAGACCAGACGAGGTGGTGAACATCTCCTAGCCACCGTGGCGCCAGGCACACACAGCATTCACTCCAAACACGCTCGCCACTCACCAGACACTCACCAGACACTCACCACGAGACGCTCACAGCTCACCAGACACTCACATCACACACACACACAGCATTGCGGTGTTGTTAGCGAGCTCCTATTAATGCACTCGCCTGATGTCGGGGTTGCGTAGGGCTAGACGGAGCGTGTAGAGGGCCGCTGTCGACAGACCCAGCCCAATGAAAAATAGCATCGGGTAGAGCTGAAATATCATCATCCATATCATCATCAATAATATCAACATAATCATCATCAATATCATGACTATTATCATCAATTATATCATCAATTTGAGCATCAATAATAACAGAATTATTATCATCAATAGCATCATACATTTTATCATCAATCATATCGGCATTAATATATAATCATCAATAATATCAATATCATTAACAATGTCATAATTATAATCATCAATATCAACACCATCGTCTTCATCGAAATCATCAAGATCATCATGATCGTTATATCAACATCGTCGTCATCATCATGGTCATCATCAATATCACTATATTATAATAATCATGATCGTAATAATCATCATGTCATCATCGTTATTAACAACATCAAAAAGCTACCATCATCAGCTTCAACATCATCATCACTGTCGTCTTGACGAGCTTTAATAAATATAATCGCCAGTGACTGATACTCTACATCATCACATTCTATTTACACATTATCATCACCATCACAACTGCCATCATCATAACAACTGTGATCGTCAGCTTCTTCACATCATCTTCATAATTATCATCATACACAACAACAACAGAAGCAGCAGCATTATTAATAGAACTGTTAAAATCAAATCAAGATACAACTGTTATCATCACAGCGGTCATCATCACAACTGTCATCATAATCATCACAACTATCATTACAATTATCATCATCACAGCTGTCATCATCACAGCTATCATCAATATCATCACAACTCTCATCACAAATATGATCATCACAGCTGTCATCATCACAACTATCATCATAATCATCACAACTATCATCACAGCTGTCATCATCACAGCTGTCATCATCACAGCTGTCATCATCACAGCTGTTATCATCACAACTATCATCATCACAACTATCATCATCATCACAGCTGTCATCATCACAGCTGTCATCATCACAGCTGTCATCATCACAACTATCATCATCACAACTATCATCACAGCTGTCATCACAACTCTCATCACAAGTATGATCATCACAGCAGTCATCATCACAACTGTCATCAAAATCATCACAACTATCATCACAAATATCATCATCACAGCTGTCATCATCACAGCTGTCATCAATATCATCACAACTCTCATCACAAATATGATCATCACAGCTGTCATCATCACAACTATCATCATAATTATCACAACTATCATCACAAATATCATCATCACAGCTGTCATCATCACAGCTGTCATCATCATCACAGCTGTCATCATCACGTGTGCCACCACGAGTGTCAGTTTGTCGTCAACTCACGCTGCGGTGTTTCCGCGCCTTAGAGAAAAGATTCCCAAAGAGTGGCATCACTGCAGGCTGCACGGACTGACTAATATACTGACTAATATACTGACTAATATACTGGCTACTCTGCTGGCTACTCTACTGGCTCAGCTATTGGCTAAGCTACTGACTAAACTGTTCACTGAGCAACTGACTGATCTATTGCTTGGCCGGTCAACTAACTGACAAGCTTCCTGACTCACTGGTCAACTCAACCTGCCGACTGACTGATCTCCTGGCTAACAGACTTATTTAACTACTCATTGACTGGTCGACTAACCGCCTGATTTGCTGATCTATCGACTAACTCCACTGAGCTGGCGACTGACTGACTGGAATTAAACAAGGCAAGTTTAGTCGTCTAAGGCGCTGACTGACTCGGAGAAGTGGCGTTGTGATGGACGCTGGGTGACTGAGTGAGGCGCGCGCCGTGAACTCCAGGGACAGAAAGGGGAGAGAGAAAGAGGGGGGGAGATAGAGGGGAGAGGAAAACGGAGTGGGGAGAGGTCGTGGGGGAGAGAGGATGTTGGGGGGAGGTGGGGGGGGGGAGATGGAAACGGGAGAGTTCGGGTGGAAGAGAGTGGAGCGCAAAGGCGAGAGGAGGGGAGAGTGGGGGAAGATGCAGGGGTGAGAGTGATGGGAGATTGGTGGTGGTGGTGGTGGGCATCAAGAGGGTGGAGAAGATCAGTGGAGATGCGCAGGAGATGGAGGAGAGATCGGGTAAAAGAGTCGGCGTGGCCAGGCAGTCAGTCGGCCAGTTGGTGAGGCCCTGTGTCCTTGAGTCGGAGAGGGAGTCAGTGAGTGAGCCAGTGTGAAAGTGTCAGTGAGTGAGTGAACTAGTGAGTGAGTCAATGAATGAGTCAGTGAGCGAGTGAGTGAGCCAGAGAGAGAGTCAGTCAGTCAGTGAGTGAGTCAATGAATGAGTCAGTGAGCGAGTGAGTCAGAGAGTGAGTCAGTCAGTGAGTGAGTCAGTGAATGAGTCAGTCAGTGAGTGAGTCAGTGAATGAGTCAGTGAGTGAGTGACTTAGTAAGTGAGTGAGTCAGTGAGTGACTCAGTGAGTGAGTGAGTGACTCAGTGAGTGGGTGACTCATTCATTGACTCACTCACTGGCTCACTCACTCACTGAGTCATTCACTCACTGAGTCACTCACCCACTGAGTCACTCACTCACTGAGTCATTCACTCACTGAGTCACTCACTTACTGAGTCACTCACTGAGTCACTCACTCACTGAGGCACTCACTGAGTCATTCACTCACTGAGTCACTCACTCACTCACTCACTGACTGACTCACTTTCTGACTCACTCGTTGCTCACGGACTCATTCATTGACTCACTCACTGGCTCACTCACTCACTGAGTCCGTGAACGAGTGAGTGAGTCAGAAAGTGAGTCAGTCAGTGAGTGAGTCAGTGAATGAGTGAGTGAGTCAGTGAGTGAGTGACTCAGTGAGTGACTCAGCTAATAAGTGACTCAGTGAATGACTCAGCGAGAGAGTGAGTCAGAGTGAGTAAGTCAGTGAGTGAGTGAGGCAGTGAATGAGTGACTCAGTGAGTGACTCAGTGAGTGACTCCGTGAGTGAGTGACTCAGCGAGTGAGTGACTCAGTGAGTGACTCAGCGAGTGAGTGACTCAGTCAGTGACTCAGTGAGTGAGTGACTCAGTGAGTGACTCAGCGAGTGAGAGTGACTCAGTGAGTGACTCAGCGAGTGAGTGACTCAGTGAGTGACTCAGTGAGTTACTCAGTGAGTGAGTAACTAAGTGAGTGAGTCAGTGCGTAAGTCAGTGAGTGAGGCAGTGAGTGACTCAGTGAGTGAGTGACTCAGTGAGTGACTCAGTGAGTGAGTGACTCAGTGAGTGACTCAGTGAGTGAGTGACTCAGTGAATGACTCAGTGAGTGAGTTACTCAGTGAGTGAGTGACTCAGTGAGTGACGCAGTGAGTGACTCAGTGAGTGAGTGACTCAGTCAGTGACTCAGTGAGTGAGTGACTCGGTGAGTGACTCAGCGAGTGAGTGACTCAGTCAGTGACTCAGTGAGTGAGTTACTCAGTGAGTGACTCAGCGAGTGAGTGACTCAGTGAGTGACTCAGTGAGTGAGTGACTAAGTGAGTGAGTCAGTGAGTAAGTCAGTGAGTGAGTGACTCAGTGAGTGAGTGACTCAGTGAGTGACTCAGTGAGTGAGTGACTCAGTGAGTGACTCAGTCAGTCAGTGACTCAGTGAGTGACTCAGTGAGTGACTCAGTGAGTGAGTGACTCAGTCAGTGAGTGACTCAGTGAGTGAGTGACTCAGTGAGTGACTCAGTGAATGAGTGACTCAGTCAGTGAGTGACTCAGTGAGTGAGTGACTCAGTGAGTGAGTGACTCAGTGAGTGACTCAGCGAGTGAGTGACTCAGTCACTGACTCAGTGAGTGAGTGACTCAGTGAGTGACTCAGCGAGTGAGTGACTCAGTGAGTGACTTAGTGAGTGAGTGACTCAGCGAGTGAGAGAGGCAGTGAGTGAGTGACTCAGTGAGTGACTCAGCGAGTGAGTGACTCAGTCAGTAACTTAGTGAGTGAGTGACTCAGCGAGTGAGTGAGGCAGTGAGTGAGTGACTCAGTGAGTGAGTGACTCAGTGAGTGGCTCATTGAGTGAGTGACTCAGTGAGTGACTCAGTCAGTGACTCAGTCAGTGAGTGACTCAGTGAGTGACTCAGTCATTGAGTGACTCAGTGAGTGACTCAGTGAGTGAGTGACTCAGTGAGTGACGCAGTGAGTGACTCAGTGAGTGAGTGACTCAGTGAGTGACTCAGCGAGTGAGTGACTCAGTCAGTGACTCAGTGAGTGAGTGACTCGGTGAGTGACTCAGCGAGTGAGTGACTCAGTCAGTGACTCAGTGAGTGAGTGACTCACTGAGTGACTCAGCGAGTGAGTGAGTCAGTGAGTGACTCAGTGAGTGAGTGACTAAGTGAGTGAGTCAGTGAGTAAGTCAGTGAGTGAGTGACTCAGTGAGTGAGTGACTCAATGAGTGACTCAGTGAGTGAGCGACTCAGTGAGTGACTCAGTGAGTGACTCAGTCAGTCAGTGACTCAGTGAGTGACTCAGTGAGTGACTCAGTGAGTGAGTGACTCAGTGAGTGAGTGACTCAGTGAGTGACTCAGTCAGTGAGTGACTCAGTGAGTGACTTAGTGAGTGAATGACTCAGTGAGTGACTCAGTGAGTGAATGACTCAGTGAGTGACTCAGTGAGTGAGTGAGGCAGTGAGTGAGTGACTCAGTGAGTGAGTGACTCAGTGAGTGGCTCAGTGAGTGAATGACTCAGTGAGTGACTCAGTGAGTGAGTGACTCAGTGAATGACTCAGTCAGTGAATGACTCAGTCAGTGAGTGACTCAGTCAGTGAGTGACTCAGTGAGTGAATGACTCAGTGAATGAGTAACTCAGTGAGTGAGTAACTCAGTGAATGACTCAGTCAGTGAGTGACTCAGTGAGTGACTCGGTCAGTGAGTGACTCAGTGAGTGACTCAGTCAGTGAGTGACTCAGTCAGTGAGTGACTCAGTGAGTGAGTGACTCAGTCAGTGAGTGACTCAGTGAGTGAATGACCCAGTGATTGACTCAGTGAGTGAGTGACTCAGTGAGTGACTCAGTCAGTGAGTGACTCAGTGAGTGACTCAGTCAGTGAGTGACTCAGTGAGTGACTCAGTCAGTGAGTGACTCAGTGAGTGACTCAGTCAGTGAGTGACTCAGTGAGTGACTCAGTCAGTGAGTGACTCAGTGAGTGACTCAGTCAGTGAGTGACTCAGTCAGTGAGTGACTCAGTGAGTGACTCAGTCAGTGAGTGATTCAGTCAGTGAGTGACTCAGTCAGTGAGTGACTCAGTCAGTGAGTGACTCAGTCAGTGAGTGACTCAGTCAGTGAGTGATTCAGTGAGTGAGTGACTCAGTGAGTGAATGACCCAGTGATTGACTCAGTGAGTGAGTGACTCAGTGAGTGACTCAGTCAGTGAGTGACTCAGTGAGTGACTCAGTCAGTGAGTGACTCAGTGAGTGACTCAGTCAGTGAGTGACTCAGTCAGTGAGTGACTCAGTGAGTGACTCAGTCAGTGAGTGACTCAGTGAGTGACTCAGTCAGTGAGTGACTCAGCGAGTGAGTTACTCAGTGAGTGATTCAGTGAGTGAATGACTCAGTGAGTGAATGACTCAGTGAGTGACTGACTCAGTGAGTGAATGACTCATTGATTGACTCAGTGAGTGACTCAGTGAGTGGGTGACTCAGTGAGTGACTCAGTGGGTGAGTGACTCAGTGGTTGAGTGACTGAGTGAATGACTCAGTGAGTGAGTGACTCATTCAGTGACTCAGTCAGTGAGTAACTCAGCGAGTGAGTGACTCAGTGAGTGACTCAGTCAGTGAGTGACTCAGTGAGTGAATGACTCATTGAATGACTCAGTGAGTGACTCAGTGAGTGACTCAGTGGGTGAGTGACTCAGTGGGTGCGTGACTCAGTGAATGACTCAGTGAGTGACTCAATGAGTGACTCAGTGGGTGCGTGACTCAGTGAATGACTCAGTGAGTGACTCAATGAGTGACTCAGTGGGTGCGTGACTCAGTGGGTGAGTGATTCAGTGAATGACTCAGTCAGTGAGTGACTCAGTGGGTGAGTGACTCAGTGAGTGAGTGACTCAGTGAATGACTCAGTCAGTGAGTGACTCAGTGGGTGAGTGACTGAGTGAGTGAGTGACTCAGTGATTGAGTGAGTGAAGCGTCAATTCGCTTAGTCGTCCAGTCACTTGAGTGGCTAAAGTTGAGGGCAAGAATCCACCCATTTTTTCGCCATATAGCATTGTGATATATAACGACTTATTGTTGGTGGCTTAGCTGATTGGAGAATATAGAGTTTATTGATAACATTAAGGTAATTTATATTTTAGTTTTTTTTTATTTGTTCACTATATAGTTTTCATTATATATTGTATTGTATACCCTGTTACTGTGAATAGCTCAGATGTGTAGACCTTGACTTCAACATAGCCATTTCTGTGACCAGTCACTAGCTAATCACTCAGTTATTTCAATGCTAAATTCGCCTAGTTATTTCAATGCTAAATTCTCCTGTTTGATTTGTACTAGGTGCCTCGGTGAATGTGTATGCTCTGACTTTAAACATAGCTATTTCTGTGACCAGTTACAAGCTAATCACTCAGCTATTTCAATGCTAAATTCTATGCTAATTCCTTTGTCAAGGGGTGCCTCTGCGGATGTGTATGCTTTAACTTAGCTATTTCAATGCTAAATTCTATGCTAATTCCTTTGTCAAGGGGTGCCTCTGCGGATGTGTATGCTTTAACTTTAACATAGCCATTTCTGTGACCAGTCACAAGCTAATCACTCGGCCATTTCAATGCTAAATTATATGCTAATTCCTTTGTCAAGGCGCTTTGTTTCTTCTGACACAGCTTAAAGGTCGTGATCTGAACGTGGCTTTTTTCACT